ACATAAAAGCCAAGAAATATCACTTTGTAAGTGAAAGAATTCACTGGACTGTTTCCATCATAAGATCAATACATTTTCTACCCACTGCGACTATTCCAAGTTAAATAATTATTACTACCTGCAACATCTACAATCTCTCCTTCCTTTTTCCAAACACTATATGGAAATACAGGTGTCCCTCTACATAAGGCAAAATGCAATAATCTGCATAGCCATGATATTTTTTAATCTGACAACATTTAGTGGAAGACTAACTAGACTTAAATCACTAGGTAAATCTGTTCACTTGAGTAAAACATGCATTATTATGACAGACAGCTAATAGTCCTTGAAATGGCATTTTATGACAACTGCTCCATTTGGCAAAGAAGAAGAAACATTTCAAATGCATGAAAATCATAACAAGAGGCTTGAGTGAGAAACGTAAGAGTTACAATATATTAGCAACTTCTGTGGCATAAACATTTTAAAAAGCATCAGCAAAGTATTAAATATAAAAGCAATATGTATATACCCCTCCCCCATCAAAAAAGCATGATTTGTAGTGTAATAAATCAGGTATACTGACTATGGCATTAAGGCATAACTGGCAGACAATGTTATCTATTGCCTCAGCTCTACATAATTGGCTGGAAACAGCCCATATCTGCCTTTGCACACTCCCCTCCACCACCCGTCATCAATCATTTCAATGTTCGTGATGATGTCATCTGGATCAAAGGAAATCTCATCATCGCCCGCTGAGAAGAGAGTGGAAGAAGCCATAAGTTTACGTTTATCACATGAGTTATTATCATAGTCAGCTTTCTTCTTGTTCATGCTATTTCTAGTAATAGTCAATGATTCAAAAGGGGAACTGCGCAGAGGAATCTTAATAACTTATTACCTTTCTCTCTCCACCAGACAAACAGGGAGCATTAAAAACAGGGTACAAGATGGAGATAATCAAACGGTTCCTGGGTGCAAAGAGCCTCCTTTTTATTTTTATGGTGGCAATATCTCACCCTCACAAAAGGCAGGAGGTATTCAGCTCGAGTCCACTGGACACTGTTTACATTATTAATTTAGTACAGTAACTGCTACCCAAAACAGCAAAGGACTTTAACAAACCACCAAAAAACCCCCCAATAGAGTATTGTTATTGTAGTGCTGTAATATTATCATAAGATAAAACTGATGTATTCTGAGCAGGGGAAACTTAAGCTATGTGGCCATAAGGCCTAAGAACTTATAGTAGCATTTATGCACGAGAATTGGGCCTCCTTTTGCAGTGACCTAGGCACTGATTGACTAAAAACTTATCAAGTGCCTAATGTGATCAGTTTTTTTAATGCCCATTTTGCATCAGTATGCAAAGGGATCAAGACAGAGCAGATGAAGCACACTGGCTCTTCAAAAGATAACTAAGGAGCAAGAGCTTTACTTACCAGCCTGATAGTCATAGAGGGCTATGGCTGTAATTCCAAGTTCATTTTCATATTCATCATAAGCATTTTCTTCTGAAGAGAGTAAGACAAGACATGCTTTTCAGCATTACATTTTTTCTACAAATAGCCCTAATTAGTGTACCTGGCACTCTCCTCCTTCAGCTCCATAGCAGTTTGGACTATCGACTGAAGTATAGGAACAAGTTAGTCAACTGGTACAGTTTGCATCCCGAAAATTTTGGTCATACTGATCTCGCTTGTCATCTTTGATATGTTTACACCAAATCCTTGATATTTTTACACCAAATCAAGAGCAGAAGTGAAAGAAGCTCTTACAGATAGAAACTTAAAGAGGACACAAAATGATGTCCCACTGGTTGGTTCTGGAAAGCTGCTGTATAAAATGACAGAACATCAAGAAAGCTTCAGAAATATTTGAAGCAAAGTTTCACTGTCACAGGACAGAAGTAAGTGAAGGGAGAGGAAAAAAAGAAAAATCAGAGCTAGCTGTTATGTTTACATGCAGATTTTTTTTTTTAAAGAAAATCTTAACCTCTCTCACACAGTAAATCAAGACTGGAACATGACCAGCAAGGATTAGAGGGATGCATACCCCTAGGCCCCTGGCAGGTGTTATACTTAAGACATGATTAACCAGTGGTTAAGTAGCAACGTGGGCACATATTTATGCAATTAAAGGCACAATAAAACAGAGAATAAGCTACAAGGTTATTACACAAATTATATGTAATATCTTTGTGGCTGGTTCCCTTTGCATCTTAAACATATGGCCAGCGAATCAGCTGACTGGTGCACCCAGCCTCAGGAGCTCACTGGAGCTCCTGAGGCTGGGTGTACCAGCCAGCTGACTGGCACTCTCAGCTGGGGGAACTCCAGAGCTAAGGGTCATGTTTCTGGGCTTCCCCTGCCACAGCAATTGCACAAAATTGAGATCTGATCCTTGATTCCACAATCGCACTTCCTACCATGCATGTGTGGCATGGTAGAAGGTGCAAATGTTGGGTTTGTGGATCAGATCCCATTGTGCCTTTAACTGAATCTGTGTGATAGCCCTAGACTTGCACTAGGTATAGATTTGTGCATTACATGACCAATACAGCCAAAAACCAGTGCTTTCAATGCTTACTTTTAAAACCTATGAGTGGACAAAATAAATGTTAAGCTGTTTCTCCAGTTCTGACTCAATATGCCTTTATTTGAAATCTACTTTTGTATGTTTCTCCAAACAAATATGCATTATACAACATACAAGCAGAAGTCTGACTCTCTCTAAATGTCTGTCAAGAGCTGTACGTTAAATTGCAGCATAGTCAATTTACCATTAAATCACAATCCTTACCCATTAGATTTTCAGCATTAGCAAGAAAACCCACTTATCACCTTATATTATCCCTTTAATTCCATAGTAGAAGATTTTAAAAACAGAGAAACAAAAAATGCTAGAGAACTTAGATTAAGCTACTGTCCACAAACTGGAAGGAGATATCTGCACAGTTATTCACTGCACCAGTGCTGAAGGCATACCAATGTTAAAAGCCCAAAGTTAAAAATAAGAGCACTACCTGCTTGATAGAGGTCTGCTCCTGCTACTTCATAGACTGTCTCTGGTTCATATTCTGGCTCCCGCTGACTGACAGCTTCTTGGTAGTCTGATTCTTCAGTTTTGTAGCTGGATTCTGGCTCATGTACTGCTGAATATGCTGTGCTAGAATTTTTGAAGCTAGGCTCTGCCTCATATGAAGTTGCATCCTTGAAGATAAAAGGTAAAGTTTGTCAGGGACTTATAGGAAGCCTCTCTAGCTAGGTGTCTTCAATACTGCAGACGGGGCGTTCCTAGACACCATGCCTCCACACTCATGCCACAGAGAAACATTTAGCTGAATTTTGACAACTGACTACCATATACACATTGCTTTTATGTCTCTGCAAATACGATTAAAATCAAACAGAACAGCCACTTATACTGAAGACAGAGTTAAACTGGGATGACTGTGGTTATGGATTAATAAATATGACACTAGAATGCTCCTTGACAACACTTCAACAGGTGCACTAGGTATAAGGAGACAAAACACACATATCTAGTATCATGTTCACGGTGTAACTGCTGCCTTAACTAGTTTACAACCTAGAACCAAAAGCCCATTTCTCACTAGTAGACGCTTTTTTTTTTTTGCTTATACTTCTTCAGAAATAAAAGTCACATTAAACAAAGATGATCTCAAATTTGCCCTATAAGGCTGAACTCTAACTATTAGCTTAGAAAAAACAGGGGGGACCAGCAGGCACTGGGGAAGTCCCTGTTCCCCTGAGCACTGCCAGGAGTGACCAGGAATAACGGTCACAAGCTGGCAGAGGGTAGATATCAGGAGGCGTTATTTCATAGTCAGGGCGGCTAGGATCTGGAACCTACTTCCAAGAGAAGTGGTGCTGGCTCCCACCCTGGGGGTCTTTAAGAGGAGGCTGGATGAACACCTTGCTGGGGTCATTTGACCCCAGTACTCTTTCCGGCCATGGCAGGGGGTCGGACTACATGATCTACTCAGGTCCCATCCGACCCTAGATACTATGAAACTATGAAAACAGCATTACCTACACAAACACATGA